CCTTGTGATGTCACCAGGTGTCTGCAGGGCTCACTCTCTGCACTTGTAAGCATCAAAGCAAGCATGAGCTGCATCAGACCTACCTCTGCATCACTTTGTCAGGTTTCGATAAACATTTGTTAAAGAAGTATTGAGTGTCAGAAGCAAATAATCTCAATTTTGCCAGCAAAAGATCTAATATTGATTGACTTTTCCTAAATTGTTACTCAGCTGAGAAATAACACCAGAGTTAACATAACAACCGGATTTCAAAGGATAGACATACACACTGGATAACAGCCTATTGCATTGCTTTTCCTTCAAGGCCTTTCTCCACGGATGATTGATACAGACTGGTCACACAGAGCTTTAGGTTATCCATAGACAAGAGTTCCAAGAAACTTATTGTTTAACACAACTCTATAACCTCAAATTGTTTGAAAATTCATTATCTACATAATAGCTCTAAAACCAGCTTTCAAAAAGATTTCCAGAAAGAACAAAACTCTGTACGAGGGAAGAAGATGGGGACTTCAGAACCCTTGGCAAAGCCAGAACTCCCTGCCTTCCTCTGCAAAGTGGGCAAGTCTGGCTTCCTTCAGGCAGGGAAAATTGATAGACTCTGCACTTGTGGCTCCACTCAGCCTCAGTGAGTCCTGGAGCAGGTGTATTAACCATATCTTTTCTCTTCTGTATTCTAATACTTTGAAAATGTGGGGACTTGCTGACTCTGGAAGAACTGCCCTTCCCAGAATTAGCCAATTTCTAAAGATAGTTAACAACTTGTACATAAATTCATGTTTCAAATACAAACCAGCTGACCCAGAGCATACATCATCTCAACCACCTCCTCTTAGAAGCTTTCACATTCTAAGCCACAATCCACTTCCCGCAGTCACCCCAGGGATGGGCCCTAGACAACTAGGGACAAACCTATGCTGCGTAGCCCAATACAGTTATTCAAACCGGCAAACCCTAGGCCTGATTGCCATGTTTTGCCCGTTCCTTCCAATGGAAACCACAATATGAACTCTTGCTCATGTTTCTTTCCAGCTGCCCTCTGCCTCCTGGCTGACCTGATATTCCTTCATGTGACCCTGTGTGCTGTGCCCCTATTCTTGGAAATGAATACATGGTATTTTCAAAGGCAGTCATCTCCTAATCTGTTAGCCTTATTGTACTTCAATATTTCTATTAATACACTATATTTTAAAATAGTGGGCTAGGGAGGAGGTCGGTCCGGGCATGAAGCAGGATGCTGGGGCCTTAATGCTCTGTTAGGAGCATGGTAATGGGATTTGGTGTTCTCTGCAGAAACCCTTCTCTGATGATAAAGTGCATGTGGGTTGTGCTTAGGACACAAGAAAGGAATTTAAATGAGCACAGCAGGAGGGAAGAGAACCAGAGCAAAGTCAGGCATGGGTGGTTGGGGTCAACTGAACTGACAGAGGGTGGAAAACAGAGTGCCAGCCACAGATTGGGGTACGACATGACCCCTGTGCTTGGGTCTTGTTCCCCAGGCTCAGGAAGGTGGGATGAACCTAGGAAGCCTGGGGTTGGGGGGGGTGGAGGTCTGAAGTCCCGAGGAGAAGCTGTTTCTCATCTGAGGTCCCATTTCTCTGAGGGCTGTGCCTACACCAGAGAGTGAGGTAGGGAGAGTTCCTTGGTTTGGGCAATTTTACTTCACTTTCCATTTTGTTTTTTCCTCTTTTGTATCTGTCCCTACTTGTCCCATACATTCTTCCCTCAATAGTCTATGGCTCCTCATTTTTCTCTTCCTTAACATTCCTTTTCCACATTCCCCCTTCACCTTAAAAGATGGCTGCTTTGCCCAAGCAAACTGCCATAACAGGAGCAAGCCTCAACTTCCTGTACAGGCAAATTTGATAAGACCTGCACTGAAGTCTGAGGGATCCTGACTGTTCATGAGGTCAAAGTCAGCACTGCACTTCAGAAGCTAAAGGTGGCTAAACCCTCATGCTCCCCTGGCCTGACTTCACTCAGCTCTCGTTTCGGGCTCTTGCTGCACCTGCCCCTCCCAGTGGGCAGCTAGTCTCTGAGGCCCCAGCCCTGCCTTCTGGGTCCTACTTCTGTGGGATTTCTGTAGCTTCTCTCTTCTGTTCTCCCTCTGGGCTGATGTCACCCAGCCCAAGACAGGGACCCTACTCACCAGCCTCCTGCCTCTCCATGGGGAAATCCTGACACTCAGATTCCTTCCCAAATTCAGCCAAAATCTTTGCTACAAAACGCTTACCTTCTCCTGAGTTATCTCCTCAGAACCTCTTTCCACACCCTGACCCTACTCTTCCTCATTCTTCCCTTGCTCTTTTCAAATTCCCCCAATCCCTAATCTCAAGAGCATCTCTGACTTCTCCTATTCTCTGTGCCAGGCATCTCCTGACCGTAAACTTGGCCACTGCTCCCAGCACACTATCATTCAGAGTCACTACTCATTCACATGCATCCCTATGCCTTCAGCTTAGGCTTTTCTTGTCTCTCAAAGGACTGCTGCATAAGCCTACTCATGGACCATCCTCTCTCCCTACTCCTCCGGCCCTTGCAAAGTGCCAGTGGAAAGCCCTGTGGTGAAAGTCACTTCTGTTCAGATAGCCTGCAATAATAATGGCAGCGAACATTCAATCGTGGACTGTGCCAGGCCTTCTCCTAAAGTGCTTTCATGCTTGTTTAGTGCTTACAAGGACCCATGTGACAGCTGAGCACATGGGAACAGAGAGGGCATGTGATGAGTGCACTTGGGAAACTAGGGCCAGGCCCTCATCTCTGCACTGCTGTCACCATCTACAGGAGCCCAGAGAGTGCCTTGGCACTCAGTCCTCCTGGAAATCACTCCAAACTAAACATCCGAGGTCACCACTGAGGAGCACGTCCTATGGTGATGTCATCAGAAGATGCAGGAGGTAGTCTCCTTTCTGCCCTTGTAGTGAGATTGTCACAGGTGACTGTATACTGCTTGCTAAGTTAAGGATGACAATATCTGAGGCAAAAGTCCATCTTCTGTGTGCTTTAGTGCTACCTGGATAAGAGTGTTTAAAGGGCATCAGCCACAGTGAATGCTCATGGAAAGAAAGGAATGGAAAGGGGGAGGAAGGAGCCCCACTACAAGTTTTCTAGTCCATCTCAACCCCTCCATGTCACAGACAGAGAAATCGGTTCAGATGTTGCTGACTCCCAGGTATGGATGTCCCAGATTCTGAAAAATCTAGTTATTATTATCACCTATGTCATGATTAATACTTTATTCTTTATTTCAATATTATAGAAATATATCATCATATGTTTGTTTGTTATAGGTTTATAGTTATAGGAGAATAAACACTTTACAGATTATTTTATTTTATTTTACTTACTTATTTTTGAGACAGGGTCTTGCTCTGTCATGCAGGCTGGAGTATAGTGGCACAAACATGGCTCAGTGCAGCCTCAACCTCCTGGACACAAGTGATCCTCCCACCTCCAAACTAGCTAGTACTACAGATGTACACCACCATGCCTGGATTTAATTTTTACAAATCCTTTTTTAAATGTTTTGTATGGATGAGGTCTCACTATGTTGCCCAGGCTGGTCTCAAACTCCTGGCTTCAAGTGATCCTCCCACTTTATCCTCTCAAGGTATTAGAATTACAGGTGTGAGCCACCATATCTGGCCACAAATTATTTTTTTAAATTTTATTAAGTTTGATGTTTCAGTGAATAACCCACAAGCCATTTCTTATTTGAAATAGTCCTGTAGTTCATATCCACTAGCAATTCATGCTCAACCCATGTATCACATTATTGGAACCGAAACTCAGAAGTGGGCAGAGATTTTCCAGTGTGTACAATGCACCAGCTAGAGAAAACCTATCCCCATGTGCTTCATCCTGCTGGCTCTTAAAGCAAATTTTTGTAAACATAAATCAGACATAAATCTCCCAACAATCAGGAATGGGTTATAAAACTTTATGTGGGCATTCATAAAGGCTAGAGAGCATGAAATACTGTTTTTGTTTTGATGATACTTATTAAAAGTGGGCAGAGTACATACCGAGAATAGTTTCCAGTAGGTGCATCTGACCAGTGGTTGACTTGAAGCAGCAAGCAACTGTGTGGTTGACCATTGCAGCAGTGCCTAACTCTAAAAATGGACACTCACCTGCTGCTATGTCATCTCAATCCTGAGCAACAGCTATTTTCTCCATAAATTAAAAGTATTTAAAATTTACATATGACTATTTACCAAATCTTTGCTTGAGAATCTTAACCTTAAAAACACTGAATACATGAAAATAAGAGATTTATCAACATAAATGAATAAATTATTCTACATAAGAATGACAGGTTAAACAAGTTGATATTTATCTAAGCAACTTTATCTTTTAAACGTTATACTAGGATGTAACGATGCTCATACAAATTAATAACAAAATCATTAAGATTCCAAAAAGTACCTGAAGAAAAGACATGAAGGGAATTAAACCCAGGACAAAATATAAAGGATCAATGAGCACAGGAAAGAAGTCTTTAGTCTTCCATGATCCAAATGAAAAGCAACCATAACAACCATCTCTTACCCTCTTAAACTGATGATCTTCTTCAAAAGAACAGTGTTTGGTAGGATAAAATGGGAACTCTGATTCACTGTGGATGAGGGGCATATTGGTACAGCCTTTTCACAAGGCATTTTGTGCGTAAAGAGGACATTTGGTGTCCTGTCATCATCTCGACTCTTCAATCTTATTGTCACCCCTACCAATGCCACTACAATGAGGGCTTTTCTCTTCCTGAGAAGAGAAAAGCAAAATGTCTCCCTTACAGGGAGAACACTAGACTTTGTGTTTCGGAGCTGCTGTGTCTTTCACTTAATAACCACAGTATTTTATCTCCTAAGAGCCTTCATCTCCTATTTTATGCCAGCAGGTAATTGGAACACACTTACCTCTAAGGCATCTCCAGTCATAACCCTGCATCATACTATTGATTTCAGAGTAAATATTTAAGCAAAAAGAGAATTTCAACCCACCTATTTTTGATGTGCTGAGGAGAACCAACACATTTGAAGCTGCCATCTACCATTATGGCCAGTCTCGTGCAAAGAGCCTCACACTCCTCCATGCTGCAAGGAAGGGAAAGAGACATAAATGAGCCATTTCCTGAAGAGGGGAGGCTTGAGTCAAACTTTTCAAAGCAAAAAGGAGACAAGATACCATTAGGGCAAATTACTTAATTTTTTATACAGAAATCTCATGTTAAACAAATAAAATGCTTTTAAAAACCATAAGGTTTTAGACAGCCAATTATATAATTAACAAAAAGTTAGTATTTTCTTACATCAGGAAGATCAGCTATAAAATGTGTAGGAGAGAAGCATTTAGCAATAGTACAAAAATAAAAAATGAGAATAATCTTTACAAAGCAATGTCAACATTTTATGAAAAGAAACAAGAAAGCTTTACTAATAGGCACAAATGAAATCTTGAATCAATGGAAGGAGGCATGAAAGAAAAGAATGAATATTTTGAAAATGGAGAACTGTTATGATATAAAAATTAGTGTCACATAATATTAATAAGTGTAAATATCAAATGTTACCTTAAGTATAAATATAAAATACAAGTAAATTAATTATATGTAAAATATAAATTCTATTTTAATATAGTGTGTAATATAAAATACAATACTATAATATTTCAATGTGCAATTATAATTTAAATTATATTTTGACATTTCAATTCAAAATATATTACAAAATTGGTAATTTATATTATATTAATGAAAATATAATATATAGTATAATCCAATTAAAACTTTACTTTTATCACTCCCATGAGAAAATTTTAAAATAATTATAATGTATATCTTTAAAATTACTTAGTGAAAGGAAGAAAAATAATGAAAGAAGAATCATGAAAGAAGACTTGCTCCAGAAAACATAAATATTTTCTATATAACTAAAATAATTCCAATTTGGTAATACACTAAAGAATTACAATGCAAATGTCATTAGAACAAGATAAAAGAGCCCCAAACAAGATGTTACCATCTTACACATGTAATGATTTGAATATAGGAACATACTTTCTAAGCTGAAAAGCAATGGAAGAAACTGTGAAGGGGTTTGTACTAGTTGCATCTTAACAAAGCAAACTAACATTTTAAAAATTCCAACCAGGCACGATGGCTCATGAGAGCATTTTGAGAAGCCAAGGTGGGCAGCATTTTGAGAAGCCAAGGTGGGCAGATCACCTGAGGTTGGGAGTTCAAGACCAGCCTGGCCAACATGGTAAAACCTCGTCTCTACTGAAAGTACAAAAATTAGCTGGGTGTGGTGGTAGGTGCCTGTAATTCCAGCTACTCAGGAGGCTGAGGCAGGAGAATCGCTTGAACCCAGGAGGCAGAGATTGCAGTGAGCTAAGATCATGTCAACTGCACTCCAGCCTGGGTGATAAGAGTGAGACTCTGTCTAAAAAAAAAAAAAAAATCTAAGTAGACATACTGGGTAGAGGTTGAGATATCCACTATAAAGAACTCTAAGTAGACATACTGGGTAGAGGTTAAGATATCCACTATAAAGAACTCATGTATGTTAGTTTAAAACAAAATAATAAAAATATAATAGATAAAAAGGGGTAAATAACATGTAGAGACCATTCAAAGAACTGTTTGTGGCTAATAAACATACCAACGAATTATAAAATATAAACCATTAAATCAATTGATTTTAAAACTATTTTTTTGCTAGAAAAGTGTTCATGTGTGCTTTTGTGTATTGTAGAGAAAAATTAGTTTTTTTTTCCAGTCTTCAGTTCAAAAAACAATGAGTTCTCAGATCAAACAGATACCCAGAAAGTCAACGCCATTTTCTCAGTAATTCTAAATGTGTCATCTTACATATTGCTGGTGGGAGGAAAAATTGGCATAACTTTTTGAACACCAATTTGACAATAATTCCTTTCCTAAGAACTTACCCTAGAAAACACTGAAAATATATTTACACTCCCACCAACAGTGTAAAAGTGTTCCTATGTCTCCACATCCTCTCCAGCATCTGTTGTCTCCAGATTTTTTAATGATCACCATTCTAACTGGCGTGAGATAGTATCTCAATGTGGTTTTGATTTGCATCTCTCTAATGACCAGTGATGATGAACAACTTATTTACAATAGTAAACATCTGGAAACAGGTCAATGTTCCACAGTAGGAGAATATATCACTCATATAAGTGAACGTTCATCCATGTGTTAGCTATTAAAATGAAGTTCACCAAAGTCAATTAATCACATGGAGAAAAGTTCATAATATAGCAATAGTAAAATGGCAATGCGTATTAGGAGGATGTGAAAAAAACTTCCTAGGAAAAAATACACAAAAAGTATGACTGTCAATATCTCAACAGTACAATTAATGATGGATTTTCTTTAGTTCTTTTACCATTTTGAATTATCCAAATCCTCTACAGGAAGCATGTATTATTTATATTATTGGATAACAGTCACAAAGTAGTTTTCTGGGTGGATTAATGGGCATTCAAATCAAGATACTTCTCAGCCTTCCATGCACCTCAATGCGGAGATGCAACAAGTTCAGGTCAATGGAATGTACAATATATGGATCGTGTTGAAATACAGCAAGCCACTTGACCTTGAGCTGGAATGTAGACATAGTGCTGATGAGTCAACATCAACCATGATTATTGTGATGGTGGCATGGTGGAACGAACCCAGGGACTTGGCTGGCCTGATGATGTACAGCCCACTGACATGAATTAAGCAAGAAGAAAAAATATGTCTTGTCTGGGCCACTGTAAATTGATGTTTCTTTGTTATAGTTGCTTAGTGTGAAGTCCAAGAAATACATGTCATAAATTTTCCAAATGTGTCTTATATATTTTCCTGTAGAAACATGTATTTCTTTAATTAATTTCAATTTAAAAGTAATTATCTTATGGGTACACTGTAGGTACTCTAATTAAATAGGTAGAATATGAAGTCACTTATACATTAGTTTCTTAAACATCATTCAGAAAAGTGAAGGTCTCATATGGTTTGTGTTTGTGTCCCTACCCAAATCTAATGTGGAATTGTAATCACTCATGTGGAATTGGAAAAGGGGCCTGGTGGGAGGTAAATGGATCATGGTGGCAGATTTCCCCCTTGCTGTTCTCATGATAGTGAATTCTCATGAGATCTGTTTTTTTTAAACATGTGTAGCCCTTCCCCTCTCACTCTCTTCCTCCTGCTCTGGCCATGTAAGACGTGCCAGCTGCCCCTTTGACTTCTGCCATCATTGTAAGTTTCCTGAGGCCTCCCCAGCCATACTTTGTGTACAGGCTATGGAACTATAAGCCAATTAAATTTTTTTATAGTAGTGTGAGAACAAACTAACACAGAAAGTTGATGCATTGCAATACAGATACCTGAAAATGTGGAAGGAGCTTTGGAACTGGATAATGAGTGGAGGTTGGAACAGTTTGGAGGGCTTAGAAGAAGACAGGAAAATGAGGGAAGGTTTGGAACTTCCTAGAGATTTGTCAAATTGTTGTGAACAAAATGCTGATAGTGATATGGACAATAAGTCCAGGCTGAGGAGATCTCAGATAGAGATGAGAAACTTATTGGGAACTGTAGCAAAGTTCACTTTTGTTAGGCATGATCGAAGAGATACCCTGAAATTAAAATTCATATTTAAAAGGTAAACAGAGCATAGAAGTTTGGAAACTTTGCAGCCTGACAATGTGGTAGAAAAGAAAAACACATTTTCTGAGAAGGAATGGCTGCATAAATTTGCATAAATAAAGAAGAGTTGAATGTTAATAGCCAAGACATAGAAAAAATGCCTCAAAGGCATTTCAGAGAGCTTCTAGGCAGCCCCTCCCATCACAGGCCTGGAAGCCTAGGAGGGAAGAATGATTTTGTGGGCTAGACCCAGGGCCCCACTGTCCTACATAATCTCAAGACACTGCCCACTGTGTTGCAGCTGCTCCAGCTCCAGCCATGGCTAAATGGCCCCAGATAGATCCCAGGCCACTGCTCAAAGGGTGCAAGCAGTAAGCCTTGGTGGCTTCCACATGGCAGTAAGCCTGCAGATGCACAGAAGGCAAGAGTTGGGGCTTAGAAGCCTTCACCTGGATTTCAGAGGATGTATGGAAACAACTGGATGTCCAAACAGAAGTCTGCTGCAGGGGCATGGCCCTCATGGAGAACCTCTACTAGGGCAGTGTAGATAGAAAATGTAGGGTTGGAGCACCCACACAGAGTCCCCATTGGGGCACTGCCTAGTGGAACCATGAGAAGAGGGCTACCGTCCTCCAAACCTCAGAATGGTACATCTACTGACAGCTTGCACTGTAGTCCTGGAAAAGTCACAGGCACTCAGTGCCAGCCCTTGAGAGTAGCCATGGGAGCTGAGCCCTGCAGAACCACAGGGGCAGAGCTGCCCAAGGCCTTGCAATCCACTCCTTGCATCAGTGTGACCTGAAATTGAGATATGGAATAAAAAGAGACTGTTCTGGAGCTTTAAAATTTAATGACTACCCTGCTGGGTTTTGGACTTGCTTGGTTGGGGCTTGCAGCCTATCTCTTTTAGCTGATTTCTCCCTTTCGGGTCAGGTGTATTCGCCCAATGTCTGTACTCTCATTGTATCTTGGAAGTAACTAACTTGTTTTTTTATTTTACAGGCTCATGCAGAAAGGCCTTGCCTTTTCTCAGATGAAACTTTGGACTACGTTTCAATCTAAGTAGTTCAGAATTCTCATGAGATCTGGTTGTTAAGAAGTGTGTAGCACCTTCCCTTTGACACACTTTATCCTTCTCCAGCCAGGTAAGATGTGCCAGCTTCAAAAAATAAACACGAAATTTCCTGTATGGCTGGTTAATCTAAGTAGTTCAGATATATGGCTAGGCAATGCAGGGATTTCAGGAGTTATATTGGACTTTTGAGTTAATGCTGAAATGAGGTAAGATATGGGGAAATTTTGAGAAGGAATGATTGTGTTTGCAATGTGACAAAGACATGAGATATGGGAGGAGCCAGGTACAAAATAATACGTTTGGATTTGAGTCCTCACCCAAACATCATGTCAAATTGTAACCCCCAATATTGGAGGAAGGGAATG